TGTTTTTTTTAATGCATCTGTTATTTTATGCTGTCTCCCCACTGTAGCCTGCTGTGAGACATGTTGTAAAAATACTTATTGAAAGCTAGTTCAAGGGAAAAACTAAAGTGTGGCTAACATTTACTCTCCTGGATTAATTTGAGCTGTTACACAACGAGCAGATGTAGTGTGTCATATATTCTTAATGTTTCTATGCTATAAAAAGTAAACCCTTGAGTTCCTTTTCTTTTTTTTTTAAATTTGTGCTTCTATTGTTTACACACATCTCAAAATAAAAATATCTTTATTGTGCATTTCAAACATTTGTCACATTTTAATGGAAAAAAACTGATCAAAGCTGCTTTGTTTAAAAGCAGGAATGCAGTCCTGTGTGAGGCTCTCCGGTTACTCTGGAATTAACATTAGTCCTCCACAGATGATCCATGCCTGTATGATATTTCAGATCCTCTCCCTCACTGGTCACAGAGGAGGCTGCTCTCGGGGTTCTTGGTGTCCAAGTCCCCCCAGTACGGCAGGATGAAGGGCAGGTGGGCCAGGCGACTCTCCAGCAGCTCCCACAGGTGCTGAGACACAAACTGGTTCCCCTCCTGGGACAGATGCAGCCCGTCAGACAGAAAGGCTGTGTAGTCCTGTGGAGCAGAGGACAAAACAGGAAGGCTATAAAAGTAAATTCATTCAGAGGAAGATAATGGGGCATGGTGAAAATACTAGCTCTGGTCAAATAAAGGTCAATGCTTTCAGACAATCTCATATTGAGACATTTGAAACAGGATTGACAATACATACCACGTTTTTCTCGAATCATTAATATCAAACACAATACTGACATCTTTGACTGCCTATTCAATTTCTTAGCTTAAAATTCAATACGAATATTGTACAAATTCTGCCGGCCTTTTGTTTTTTATAGCTGTAAGAGCCATTTAGGCACATTATTTTATGGTAATGAATTATGGTTTGGTGAGCCAATTGAATATTCTTTTAATTTAACTCACTAGCTGAATAACGATGAATTATAATTATACTGTTTTTGTAACATTTTATCTTGCTTATGGTCTGCTCTAGTTTTATGTTTTGTTATTATTTATAGAAAGCAGAATGTAGTAGCGTGCTCAGGTATAAATGACGCTGCCAGCGTGACACAGCAGGGAATCTAGAGAGCAAGTTGGAAAACATTTTTGACCGCACACATCCGTACGACTGTTGGATTTGTTTGTTTATTTGTTTAAATACCGTGCAAAGGTTGCAAGTCGGCATTGGGCCGCCAGTTGATCCATTGAACTTCCTAATAAAGCACTTGAACAGAACGAGCAAGGTATTTGGATTTCTTGAACATACGTGAGTCAATACTCGAAAGTGGCCTTTGAACATTCCTTTTTGCATAATTGGCCACTACAATAGCTTTTATGTCATGTGACCCACTTACTCTAAATTGATGCAGCATTGTATTTGATTGTATCTCCTTTGTTGGATTTTAGTCCACTTTCTATTTTCTGACTATTTTTAAGAAGTTCTTAAGGTGTTTGCTGCACAAGACTACCAATGATACTAAGAACAATGGGGTGCTCCAAAAACAGGCCAGAAACAAAAGAGGAAAGACCTCTGGCCAACGTCTGTCGTAGTTCAGGCAATGGAAAACTGCTTAATTTACATATAAATGAGTATATAAAATAGAAGAAGCACTACAATCCATCAATAACAAGTACGCACCTGTCCATCTTTCTGCATGAGTGTCCAGAGGTCCAGCACGTCTGCACCACACTGACTGGCAGCTTGGACACACGCCTGGGCATACTGACCCGCTACAGAGTTATGGCGATTGAGCGTACATCCTGAAAAAGAGATGAGCAAGCACTCTTATTCTTTGTAGGCCTGAAGCGTATACGTGGCTTGTGTAAGGACAGAAGAACAAGAGAGAGGAAACATTGTGAATGAGCGTTACCTTTCACAATGCACTCCTTCTCCCACACTGACTCATTAATGGGAGGAGGGGTGATGAAGATGACTTTGTCTGCTGACACTCCCACTGAAGCCAGAAGCCTGGTGATCTCCTTCAGGTTCTCTGAATACTCCTGCAGAGGGACGTGCTGCTGTGGGTTTTTATCTTGGTAACAGGAACCAATGAAGGGGGGATACATTTATAAAAAGGCAGATTATTATTGGTGACAATGTGTCTGTTAAACATTGTTTTCAGTCAATTATCTAGAATAATCCCCAACAAATGTTATATACAAAAAAGTATGCAGTTTATGCTATATATTATCCTACAGTTAATTTATAAAGTGGCGGTTCACACCTGCAAAAGATTATACAATGTTTTATATAAATAGCTAAGGTTGTGTTAAGATTTGTTGGAGTAGTAAACAAAGCACCACATTTCAAATATTCATAAAGCAAAAGAAAATCCAACATGGGATCATGTTAGAAATGTGGGTCTTCATTACGATACATTTTTGGGGATAGAAAATAAATAGTGTATATTGTTTACTTTGTGTATAATACAATACATAGTATGTTGGTCAAAAACCCCAAACTAAAATTGTATACCATAAAAAAAAAGTTAGAATGTCAAAAGAAAGTCATAGAATAGTGTCTATAAAAATGACAAAGCATTGTATGTTCTAACAATGTAAACAACATGTAAATAGTAGTGAATACGATAAGCATGAAGAATTGTGTTGGATCACAGGTGATGTTTACAACATAGGGTATGTGTTAATAAGGTGTTAGTGAAACTGTACCTTGCAGAGCACAGTCGTTGGATCCAAAGAAGACCGTGACAGCAGCTATGTTGTTTTCTTCTGAGTTGGTGCTGCTGAATAGGCGAGGCAGCAGTATCTTACCCCACCTGGAGTTGTAGCCAGACAGCCCTCTGTTTAAGACATCACACTTCCTGATGGAGAAAAATATATTTCACATTCAGATATTAGTCAAAGGTGCTTTATTTTATATTTAATAAAAAAAAAAAAGTGAAATATAAAATAAACATTAAGACGAGCACTTTCATTAAGGTTACAATAAATATAGTAAATACGTGCCTCGCTAGCTTGTGTGCAATGTCTGCACCCCAACCATTGGGTTGAAATGAACCCTGAAAAAAAACAGCAGTTTTATTTGTTCCAAAGTTAAGCTAACAAGCTAGTAGCTAACGTTAACTGTGACTATTGCTAGTAAGTTAGCATTAGCTGCTAGCTTGCAAAATACATAAGCCTTTAACATATGTGTTGCATGAGCTTACCTGTGTGATGGAGTCCCCAAATAAAATCACTTTAGGCCAAATTACTGTTTTGATTTTAGACATATTGAGATGAAACCTGCTGAACTGGCTGCACAAAACCACACTTCCGGGACTGCGGTCAAGCCAGCCTCCACTTCGGAAAACAGAGTCAAGCCAGCATCCGCGTTGTTTTGCGGTGCGCGAATATCCTATGCATTACGGTAGCAGCCTCGAAAAACTGCCTTCAAAATAAAAGTGCTTACTCGGTCAATAACAATTATACCAAACATATTAAAATATGTACTATATAGGCCTAATGTGATCAATAATAATGTAAGAAAAACTACGTATAACTACCACATTATAACTGAGTGAATGTAAAACTTAAAGAGCTTCAAAATAAAAGACCTTTGAAGTCTCATGAGCTATCATCCCTCTGTTTTTAGATGAGAATAAAACAAAAACTCTCCAGTATCAAAGACTCACCTCACTCCAGGGTGATAGCAGGACACCCCATCTAGTCACTCAGAAAAAATCAGGACATTCTGATGTAGAGTTTCAAAATAAAAGACCTTTGAAATCTCTTTTATGAGCTATCATCCCTCTGTTTTTAGATGAGAATAAAACAAAGACTCTCCAGTATCAAAGACTCATCTCACTCCAGGGTGATAGCAGGACACCCCATCTAGTCACTCAGAAAAAATCAGGACAATCTGAAATCTAAAAACAGAGGGATGATAGCTCATACAATAGAGATTTCAAAGGTCTTTTATTTTGAAACTGTACATCAGAATGTCCCAATTCTCCCTGAGTGACTAGATGGGGTGTCCTGCAATCACCCTGGAGCGAGATGAGTCTTTGATACTGGACAGTTTTTGTTTTATTCTTATCTAAAAACAGAGGGATGATAGCTCATAAATAGAGATTTCAAAGGTATTTTATTTTGAAACTCTACATCAGAATGTCCTGATTTTTCTGAGTGACTAGATGGGGTGTCCTGCTATCACCCTGGAGCGAGATGAGTCTTTGATATTGGACAGTTTTTGTTTTATTCTCATCTAAAAACAGAGGGATGATAGCTCATACAATAGAGATTTCGAAGGTCTTTTATTTTGAAACTCCTTAAGTTTTACATTCACTCATTTATAATGTGGTAGTTATACGTAGTTTGTTTTAAATATTTATTGATCACATGATATAGTACATATTTCTTAATTTAATATGTTTGGTATGTTATTTTGGTGTGTTTGTTATTGACCGAGTAAGTGCTTTTATTTTTGAAGGCAGTGTTTCCTGGACTCTACCGTAATGCATAGGATATTCGCGCACCGCAATATCACGTGCGGGCTGGCTTGCCTAGGTTTTCCCGAGTGGAGGTTGGATTGGCCGCAGTCTTCCGGGTTAGGAGGGATGTTGAGACGTTTTAACAAACTTCAAAATAAAAAACATATTTACATTTTTTAAAGTATGCAATTTACAAGAAAACGTATACAATAGAAAAATCAACACAATATAGCAGACAGGATTAATTGCAGGACTGTATAAACCATTAGTTTGAGTTATGAACACATTGCTAAAATATTTCCATTGCCATATCTACACTGTAGCTACTTTGGATATGACAATAAAGCCTTTGAATCTTCGAAAATCCTAAAAATATATACACATGTATTTCTTATTTTTGTATCGTGTTAATGTTTGTTTGATATTTTTAATAATTTTGTATTTTATGTTTCACCACATGGGGGCACTGCGGGCAGACCCACCCGCATTGGAATCCCGGAAATCGTCTTATTCCTTTGCCCCCTTCCAACATGGCGGAGGTCAGGCTTCGCTTTAGAAGGGGAGCCTACAACTTTGTTCTCAAAACCTATAATCGACAACTCCTTGAAAGTCAGAATAAGCAACGTGAAAGGGCAATAACAGCCCCTAGTGTCTCTGCGGGGTTTGGATGTGGTGCGTTTCAAGATGGAGGACTTTATGGAGCTGACAGAGCGACCGCGGGAGATTCTCAGGACAGTTACACAAGGGTAACACCACTGTTTGGTAATATTGACAATGGGAATGTCGCTCAATATCACTCCAATGAAGAGTATTTACTTTCTAATAAATCTCCAATTCAGAATATAGATCTACATCGAATTTACGCCAAATTACGTTGGACTCCCTACACGTTTAGACCAGCTGATCTACATCAGAGCCTCGGTTTGTGTGGAGGACATCCTTCACATGTTGTGTTTATCAGAGCTTACAGCGGCAACGGGGCCAGATCCGAGCCGCTTTACAAAACCAAAACAGAATACTATGAAATCCTGGAGGTGTCACCCACCGCCAGCCATGCCCAGATAAAAACAGCCTACTACAAGCAGTCCTTCCTGTACCACCCGGACCGAAACGCAGGCAGTGAGCACGCCACCGTCCGCTTCTCGGAGATAAGCGAGGCCTACACGGTGCTGGGAAACAAGGCTCTGAGGAAGAAGTACGACCGGGGTCTGCTGGGTCCGTCAGACCTCTTAACAACCAGACCCTCCGGCAAGGACACCGGGAGCTCTGAGAAACAGCACGCCGGGAGTAGACTGCGGTCTTTGGTGGGCCTGCGAGAAACAGCCTTTGACTTTGACAGATTTATCAAGAGCCACTACAGCGAGCAGCTCCAGAGAGAAAGGAACAGCAAGATCCGCAGAGAGGAGATACGGAGGAAGCAGGAGGAGACTTTTCGGGAGAAGAAGTTGAACACGGCGAACGAGTTGGGAATTATGATGATGGTGATTACAGGCGCGTTTTTACTGATCAGCGTATACAAGGCGTGATGTTCACTCACATGGAGGATGTTGGACTTCAATCATCACCACTTCTCATTCTACAACAAAAAGACTGCTGTTGAAAGCTCTTTGTTTGAACCCTGTTTGACCGCTCTGCTTGAGAAGGAAACTTTTGTGAAGTATGGATATCATAACTTTATTTTTAAGTAAATGTGACACAGTGCAATTATAATAAGATCACACTAACAGCTACAAAGACCAAACGGTTCAGTACAGTTCTGTATTCACAGTTTTATCTTGGTGTAGCCTTTGTCAAGACTTGAAGGTTTATCTGTTTTTTAACACCAACGGCCATGTAAATCAAAAATAACATTATAAATAGTGCATTAAAATCATTAATATTACATTAATAAGAATACAAGAGTTTCACAATACTGATGCAGAAACACTTGATCCAGTACTCAACGATCAGGTTTCAACAACAAGTTTTTAATTCCTCACTTTGCCATAAATGGTGTCTTTTTAAATATAGTACACAATTCACAGGTTGGTTCAGCACCTGGTAGTGCTACAGTTCATTTTTGGCTTTTATAAAGTCATCTGTCTTGCAGATTTCTTTATTTTTGATTTATGGTTTCAAGTATTGCTATTTAGAAATATTTCAAGCAATGTAAGAAAGTAAGGGATGTGTGAATCAAACTATTTAAAAGAGGCATAATAGGAACTGTATGTTTATGCTCAATGAAAAGGTGCCTTGAGATGATATTTATTGTAAAACTGAATGGTTATATTGTACAGATATTTAACTAATAAATGGTTTATGAGCAGTGCCTGTGTTTATAAACTTTGCCTATAAAACCTCTCAAAGCAGCTGAAAAGTGATGAAAGCAAACCCATTGCTCAAATATTCAAGACACAAAGCTTTGTTTACGTCTGTTTTAAACATCATGTATTGAACACAAACATTTAGTGCATTTAGAAATTCACAGTTCACATCGCAGTTAAAAGTAGACAAAATAGTCATAGCAGTGCACATTACTAACAAACTGGCCAAACACAACTTAAAGTGCATCTACAAGAATACTGATAACTTATTAAATATAATCAAAAGTGCTTGCATAACAAAATCAACACTAAAATATATGAAAAAATACAGCTTATGCAATTCCCTTTTTTTACATGGTAGCTCCATGGTCAAGAATAAACTTGTGTATAGGCCGATCTAGCCTAGTAAAGTTTAGATCTTTTTTGTTAAATGATCTGCAATGTGCCGATTAGTTTGGTGAAATGTAATTGGGATTAAAAGAACTAAAACACTACAGGGTAGAGCTATCACTATGATTCTTCTGAACACATCCAGTTTTTAGCAAACAAATACAAGCTTCTAATTGGCTTTCAATGCTGAACTTGAGGAAGTATCTTGATGTTTAAATCCGTGAGGACTTAGCTTCAGAATCTCTGTGCCTCAGTAGTTTAAAGGTGACTGGATTTGAACACGCCTGCAGTCCGTCTCTCCTCAGATGACTGGGTTCAGGGCGTCGTAGAGCCGCTGCACTGACAGCTCCACCATCTCTCTCAGGGAGTCGTCCTCGGTGCTTTCATCCTCGTAGCACACCGACTGATTAGGGGAGAAGAAGTCAGTGAGAGAGATCAAAACGATTGTACAGCACAGACATCGTTTTGGTGCGTCATTCTTAAAGCTTCTCACCCTCGTTTCCAAGCAGATGTGAACCGTCTTCCCATCTACCGTCAACGAGATGATTTTACCATCACTGAAATCCACACAATCTAATCCAAACATGTCCCTAAGGAGAGAAGCAATATGTTGTGTTTATACTAAGTTAGCGTATTCAATGTAACAGTGTCATAAACAAAGTTAGTATGAATTGAGCGGCACTCACTGCAACATGACTCCTAGTCTGTTCTGGAAGACCTCTATGTCCAGTCTGGCACTCTGGGTCTCCATCGCTGTTGATCATGATGAATCATATTAAATAATAATTCATACAAAATAAAAAAATCCATCGCAATAACAAGACACAATACATTGAATGTAAAGTTAGGATTGTGTACAGTGGGATTGTATGAGGTACCATGGTAGGTATTTTAGCCTACCTAAAAATTGCCAGTATTGTAAATTACGCAATATTTACAATATTTTGATCACAATAAAGGGATACAAATATTCAAGATAAAGCATTTTCAGTTGGCTAAAATATCATTAGCTGCTGCCTCTGTCCACAGCAACACATTGCTTGCCCTCATGTGGTAACACCTGACTGTCGCTCCGAAGAGGGGGCATGCAAACCACATCACTATATACCTAATACAACCCCACTTCAAGCAATCTGAACTATCCCTTGAGGGGGAAACTTCTGAAGCAATTGGAGTCAGGACTCAGAGAGACACGAGGAGAGCTGGAGCTTTGATGGCAAACACTGACGGTTTATTTGGAGCTTCGGCCGGAGAATTCACAAGACATGTCACGGGCCACGGTTTGACCACACGGTTGAGATGCCACCATCAATTCTCAAGAACCCTCCTGTAGCTTGAGGTTTTAACTAGTTCAGAGTGTAATAATCAACATTCTTCAATAGATAGACTAAACAGCTGAGGACACTGAATCACATTTGTTGTCGCTTATGGCTTGGGTTCATCTACACCCCGAGAAGGATGTGTTCCAGGTGTCCCACAACAATAACTATCTCTCACCGAGAGTTGCCCGGTCACCAAACTGGATAACAACAACAAAATGCTTAGCAGCCCCTCCTTAAGGGAGATAACGGCTGCTCAAGGTTGGTCAGCTGCGTCAGAGGGCGAAGGAGGACATGCAGGGCAAATTATTTCCCAACATCCCTTACTTTATTTTTTCTTCATTATTGGGCAAATGGGTTGGAATAAAAGTAAAGTAATTTATTCTATGCTTCCCAAAGTCCATAAATGATTAAAACTAAAGATCCAGATGAGCAACATAAACAGATGGTTGTCAGACTAACCTTTCTGAGCCTTGGGGTTGGACTGGACTTCCAGCACTACAGTGGTGACGGCGTCAGCATACATGTCGTTGAGAGGGTTTGCTAGCCACTGAAATAGGAGATAGAGAGAAAGGGTTGTTGGGTAAATTAGACTGAAGAGGGTAAAGTCTTGCTCTTCTGCGTAGGACTCATCAGGACCACAGCTAAGGGCCTGACCGCTCACCTCCAGCAGCACCATGCCGGCCTCGTGGATCAGAGTGATATTTTTTAAAATCTTCAGAGTGTGCTTCTCCGTTCCATCAAGCTCGTCCACTTCACCTGAGACAAGAGGAAAACAAATTGCTAGTCAGCAAGGTGTAAACTCAGAAAAGTGTGAAGCCCTGCATGAATGGATCAGAAACAAGAATTATTTGGGAGAAAGTTTGCACACACGCAAATATGGCAGACTTACCAGTGAGGTTCCTCAGGTGGCAGACGAGCAGGGAGTAGGGTCCAGTGAAGGGGATGGCCTGGGTCTGTTTCACTGTGCTCATGGCCAGCTCTGTGTATGCTGCAAAACAAACACATCGGATCACTACATGACGCCTTGCTTCTTCTACAGTCTTGTTTCAACAGTTACTTTGTCACTTTATTTTTGTATTATTATCAAGATTTTTTACCTTGTGTGAATCCTGTTTTTCACTCTGACCCTGTTGCTGCTATAAACGCCTGAATTTCCCCACAGGGATAAATAAAGTGGACCTATCATGCTATATTTGAATAATATATTGTAGGGCCATATATAAAACATGTCTGCAAAGTTTTTTTTTCAAAATACCTAACAGGTCATGCATTTTAGCCATGCCTCATTTCGCTCTATTTGCTCTTTTTTAGCCCTGTTTTTGCTGTTTTCTTCGCTGCTTTTGTGACAGACTACAGCGCCACCTACAGGCCTGGCATATGTACTACAGCGTCTCCAGCGCTTTCGAACGGCAATGGCCGTGGCTGTCTCCTCCTGATAGGTGGAGAGTTGCCCATATAGGCGGAGCTCCTTGTTTCTGACGCTTGAGATATTTCAAATCTGTATCAGTCTGTATCAGATCCGTTGCAGCCCCGTTTCTGGAGATTTGGGTATGGAGGAAAAGAGAGAGGTGTTGTGTTTTCTGACACTTGGTGAGTTCCCTGACACACCGGGGACACATATTCATGTATAAAAGACGTACAAAAGTGCATTTTGCATGATAGGTCACCTTTAACAAAAAAGGCAGCAGTTTGCACAACTGAGTGACAGAAACACAAAAAGCCTAGGCGCCAAAAGAAATGGAAAGAAAATGATCAATAGTACTTAGATTAAATGTCTCAAGTGTTCTTCTTGGTTAATATGAGTTGCAAATATAAAAAAATAAATATCACACATGCATTTTTAAAAGGCCCATTATAGCACAAAGTACCTATTTTTTATTGTTGTTGTCCCATAAGTCAACACACATTTTTACCCTCTCTGACTGAGATTCTCAAATGTATCGTAGCCAATGAAGTGATTCTCCTGGGGCTGACTACCAACGCACAGACGCTGCATCCTGCATGGGGGACAGTTTGTACTAAAATACTTACTGGAGAGGTCTGAGGGATTGAGGATGTGGTAGTTGAAGTTCTTTTTCACCAGTATGCCCGACACTCTCTGGCCTTGAACACACTTTTCATCAGCCAGGGAGCCCATCACCTGAAGGACAAGCAATGTAACACAAGTATTAAACACGTCTAAGCCAAAAGAAGCCCAGAGTGACTTGGGAAAAGGACATCTCCAATGAAACAGTCTCAGGGATAGAGAAAAAGTGAAAGGTGCATTGACCTTGGCCAGCTTCTCTCCTCTGAAGTTGAGGGTGACAGCTTCTGTGTTTCGAGGGTTGTGGACTTCGATGTGAACCTGGTCGTTGTCCTCGTATTCCCTGATCAGGGCAGCCTTCAGACGGGCCATCTCATTCTGCTCCCCGTGGACCAGGATCTGTCGATAAGATGTAGACAGAGGGTAAGGATTTTCATTACAGCTGATACAACTCAAGGGTACAGACAACATTTCAATTTCTGAAACCCACTTAGGAGTTTTCACAAACATCCTGGCTTTGACCACTGTTTCTTATTTCAAATCTACATACACTCAAAGCACACTTTTGCAACTGTCTGCAATTTAAGAACACATCCCAAATCTGACATTGACTTATCTTAGGTCCGTTCTTTATAACACATTTAAAAACCGACTCAGGAAGATATTGGTACATTAGCTAGTTTATTTTAGCTCCTCCTACCACATGTGGTGGTTTGAGGGCCCTGATGAACTCGCTGGTCTGCTGGTAGTCAGTGTGGGCGGAGAAAGAGATGTAGTCAACCGACATCTTCAGCTGCAGCTTCTGCCCCGACATGGTGGTGATCTCCTCGGGCTCAGACATGATGTGCTGCAGAGAGCACAAAACACACCAGTTAGCAGCTGTAATTATACAATCATTGTTTCAACAAGCACATCTGATTTGAGTTCATTTGGATAAAAATGTATAGAAATGATGTCGCTTTCACCCAATAAACTAGTTATACCTGTCTAATGCATGCAGCCACTATGGTTTCTTAATTTTAAAGAATTTTCTATTATATTTACTATTAACTCATGTTTTTATGTTAATTCCAAGTCTACAACTCTTATTTTAAATCACTTCGTGCTGCATTTCTTGTATGAAAGGGGCTCTAAAAATAAGGTTTGTTAATATCATTATGACAGATCTGCCTGACCTTGGCCAGTGTGCCCTCTACACAGTATCCAGCGATGATGACTCCGTTCCTCTTGTCAGTGCACCAGCTCTCAAACAGCTCTCTGGAGAGCCCGCTCTGCATCATACCCGGAGACGCCATCACCACGCTGGGGCCGATGTCATCGAAGTGATCCATGCTCTGGAAAAACACAGACACCACGTTTACAGATATTCAGCAGCAGCCCAAAGATAAAACAGCCTGTATCTGTTTGGCTCTCTACCTTGAGGTTGCTGATGTGCTTGAAAACAAAAGGGTTGTTGATATTGATGGCCTTGCGGATCTTGTCGTTCATTGCGTTGACGTACGTCTGGTACACGGCCATGCACTTCTTGGCCAGGGATGAAGCGTAGTAGATGGGGATGTCATGGAGCTCAGGGTGGTTCTGCCAGTACTCATCTACAGGAGAACATGAAACACAATCTTACAAATTGAGATGGAACAGAAGAAAATAAATTGTAAAACAATGGAAATATTAAGCAAATCAGGATAAAGGGTCTTTCATGACAGTTTAGAGTACGGCATGTCAACTTCTGCAATAAACACATCACGAAAAACTGTTGATATATCAAAAATATGTTTTATGAGAAGAACACTACACATTAAAAATAATCTTTTTTTTTTATTGGTGAATTTTTATGTCCATAAAAGAATGTTGGAAATAATTTCCTTAAATTATTTTTGAAATTCAACAAGCACGTTTATTTTATTAAAGAAATAATAGGAAATCTTATCTGTTTATTTATCCCAAGTATTATCAATGCACCCTAGCAGAGAGGTTAACTATGTTGTTCGAATTTGGAGGCACAATTTCGATCAGGGAGTCCCTCTTGACTTCTCACCCAGGATGAGCAGCAGCTCCTGGGCCCGGCCCAAAGCGAACACAGGGATTAAACAGCGACCTTCTCTGTTGACAATGTCATGGACTGTGTTACAGAACCGAGCCTCACGCTCCTCCCTCTTCTCATGGATGTGCGTGCCATAGGTTGACTCCTGCAGAAAGAACAACATGTATGCACTTTCCTAGATTTGATCAGCTAAACATCCATTAGAATTGTGTTCAATGTGAATTATTACGCTGCATACTATGATTAGGATGTCCGGTTTGACACTGGGGATCTCTGCTGCCATCAGATGCCTGTCTTCCTGTCGGGAGAAGTCTCCTGTGTACAGCAGCTTTTGTAGGAAAAAACCCACAAATAATCGATTTCTGAAGTGAACCTATTTTGTATAAATGAACAGAACTCTGTTAAAAGCAAAACAGAAGTAGTTACCTTGACTCCGGCTATTTCGATCATGAACATGGCGGCTCCCAGCACATGGCCAGCGTGGTAGCACCAGAACTTTATTCCAGCCACCTCCTTCACCTCGTGGAAGTTGATGGTCTCAATCTTATCCATGCTCTCCTCCAGGTCAGTCTCAGTGTACAGCATGTCATCTGCAGAAATATTGCTGCAAAGAAAGCAAATAACTTAATGGTTATACATATAAATAATTTGTAAATATGTTCCATATCGACAATTGCTGTTGCTTCTACCTGACTTTGACGTAGTCCGACAGTAGCCAGCGGTAGATGGCCTTAGTGGCGTGGGTCATGAAGGTCCTGCCTTTAAAGCTGGTCTTCTGGAGGAACCAGGGCAGAGCTCCACAGTGATCCAAGTGGAAACTGGTGGGAGGATACACACATCAAAATGAAATATTGTTTTAGAATAAAATCAAAATGACATACAAGCAGGAGATGCCATAGTAAGTAAATAAGCATTTAAGGTTGAAAATATACATTTAACACACAAAAGAGAGAAGGGAAGACTCACTGGCTGATAAGCAGCAGGTCTATCTCAGCCGGGTCGATCAAGTCTATGTATGGGAGAGCATCCATTCCCTCCAAGCCAGGGTGGATACCACAGTCCAGCTGCAAAACACAAATATTAATGTCTACAGAGAGAACATTTCTTTAGATCCTAGGACATATCAAGAGACCAAAAAAAAGACAGGTTAGAATTGTACTTCTGTAGTCTATAAGCTATAATAACCACAAAGGTACTTGTGTCACGCAATCGTATGCTAACATTACAAATCATTTGGTATTGAAGATCTCATAACTTTTTATAAATCAGTGTGCCTTAGTATGTTTTGGTCACTATGACTTGGTTACAAAGCTAAGTACAAGTCTAACTTCTCTCTGGTTGCCCTCACAAATATGACTGTATTTATTTCACCAAGGACAATGCTTTCCATGAATCATCGACACACAACTAACACAGGACTCAATAAAGCAACAATACAATAATTAAAACATATACAATAATAACAACAGTGAGCCTGCACAAAGTAAGACCATATAATTGCACGACCTATATTCCAGCTCCATAATAAAGATGTGTCTCTAACCTATTCATTCACAATATAATATTTACCATAATTTTCCTTCCTTTGAACTCCAGAATGATGCATGATCTCCCAACCTCCTGACCCGCACCCCTGTAGTTACATAAAATAAAATAGAGGTTGAACTAACATAACATTTATTTCATGAATACTGGTTAAATAAAGAGGCAGGCGTACAACACTTTTATTGATTTAAAAAAAAAGGAACCTAAATGAACTCACAGTGGACGAATTAGGAGCTGGTCGCTCTCCTCTGCGGGAACAATCACCTCTACTTTGCGTTTTGTTGCCATGCAAAATGTTGCAGGACAATTTAAAATATAGAAGTGATAAATGCGTTTATACAGTGCTGCAGTGTTTATAAATGAGGGGAGGTGACGTCACAGTTCTGGTGGTGTGTCAAAATATAGCCGACGAGAATTCAGAAGCGGCAGAAGTTCCGGGACAGCCGTTAGACGGTTTTTGCCGTAACGAATATAAATTAACAACATTATTAAATATTACAAACAGTAACGTTCATCATAAATATAGTATATAAAAACGCTTTCTACAAACTCACAAAATGTGTTATAAACATGGCTTTCGGCTACATTTTTAGATTTACTTTGTTGGAACTTCGTCGCGTCCCCTTTAAGTGGTGTTGGGTGTAGGCTGTGAAACTCAAAGGGAAGCTAAAGAGTCAAACTGAAGGTAAACAGAAAGCTACTTTGAAGAAATTAAAACTGAGAAGTTACGATATAAACAGGTATTCATTGTGTAGCGAGCTCTATTTAAGATGTGTGTCATTGCCAACCACCTGTGAATCCTTTTCAACTTCAGTGTGAAAATGACTGCGGTGGGGGACATTTAAGGTGGAGTAGGATGAGTTTCATGCATTTATAATATACAGTAGCATGAACGAGCAATGTATTCTTCGGAGCATGCAAGTAAGGTTGCTAGATAAATGATGCGTTCAAGTCAAGCGTAACCTGTTGATTGTATTGTCTGGTGTGACATATGAGTCGTGACTCGTGGGGGGCTCTCTTGTAAATAGTTTATGCCCCCCAAGCCCAACCTCTCCCCCCGGTGTGGATACTCCCTCTGACTCCATCAATAGGACCTGCAATAGTATTTCACTCTGACATGATGGAGAATGGGGAGAAGTCTTTTTTTACAGTAGCAGGTGTAACAATTAAAATGGTTTCCAATTTAACTGGTGCCACTTTTCACAATACCTCTAAAGCAGTATTACTAGTTTCAATACATTTCAGCCTCAAAGTTAGATGAATAATAGTATTTGAATAAACATATTCACTCAGTATTACAAGCACAACAAAAATACTATGTAGGCTATTACACTGTATTATTCCCATATTAATGTTCACATCTACAGAACATTCAACTGTACAACAGATAGAGGTCAGAGATGGTCATACCTATATATTAATAATTATTGAAACAGTCACCATTTAAAAATGTGTGTATGGCACAATAGAAAGGTGAAGCGTCAACCTCAATTTCTGGTTTTTGAAGTCAATTTAGACGCAATGTTAACAAAATATATATATTTGAGGACAATGTTGTTTTTGAAATTGATTGATATCAAACCTTAGCAGGAGATCCTTAAAAGCTATTGGATGCACATTTGTATTTATCAATTCCTTGCAAACCAATCTGTAATGAATAAGTTGTGTTGATCTCAGGTTTGTCCTTTAAAAGAGATCTTGATTTTAATGAGATGTCCTAAATACATCTTTAGTAACTAACACTCCTATAATGTGAATACATTTGCAGCTGCTACAGTAACTATTAAACCATGCAAAGGATAGCTGAAGGATCATTATGTAGCTGAAGGTCCACCATCAATTATTCAGAACTTAGACCTCATTCAATTATTCATCATGTCTATTGAGACGTGAGAAGGCAGTCCTGTGTTTAACGCGGCCGTCTGTGATGACTCAGGTTTGGGAGAGGCTGGAGGGCTGGATGCTGTCGTCATGGTGAAGGATGTTCCGGAAAGTCAAAAAGCGGCACAGTAGCAGCAGCTCGCAAAGCAGTGAGATCAGCACCAAAAGCAAAGTAAGCAACACACACGCACGCACACACACACGCACACACACACACACACACACACACACACACACACACACACACACACACACACACACACACACACACACACACACACACACACACACACACACACACACATGTTACAGGAGAGCCACTTTCCTCTTGTTGAGCAACCCCCCCCCTCTTGTTTCCAATTCATGTAGTCTGTGGACTCCAGTTTGGGGGGGCTCTCCAGATCCAGCACCGCCGCCAGCCTCGACACCGACTCCACCAAGAGTTCAGGTCAGCTTTCTACGCCTTTTCTTTTCTGAAAGAGTTTTTTATGTATGTAGCAGAGCATACAGAGACCATGTATTTCACTATATATTTTTAATGTTATTATAGTTTTCTTAAAATAGTTTTCTATCTGTGTTTTTATTTTTTGTTTTATTTTTGATGTATGCACCACAGCACCAAGTCAAATTCCTCGTATATGTTAACCTACCTCGTAATAAACCTGTTTATGATTCTGATTCTATAAATATTGTATTAATTAACACTTAAGTTGTTTTTATGTTGTATGATTTCAATTTGCTTTATGTTGCATTTATATGTAGTCCAGTCAACTGCTTTTATTTGGGAGCAATTTGTTTGAATATAACCAAAACTGATCAATGACTGTTTATGAATTATATGTATTGCCAGTAATAACAGAATCAATTACATTTTCAATCCGTTTTTCTACTCGAATTATCCAAAGATGCAGCTTATGGTATGGCTGCACAATATGAGGACAATATGTTTTATAAAAATCAAGTTCAATGAAAACCTATATTAAGAGGTAGAACTTAAACACTAAAGGTTTACATTTAGTCCTAGTCAAGTGTTTAGTCTTAAAGGAAATGTTATTTACCCTCCGTAGGTAACAGCACGTCTGAAACATGCGCTGAGTTCAGGGTGAAGTATCTCGGAGCCATTGAGAGGTTACAGTTTGACATGAGCAAGTCCCTGCAGGAGCCTCTGGACCTCATCAACTACATCGATGCTGCTCAGGTAAAAAGCTGAAGGCCACACACTTTTAGAAGGCGTACAGCAGTCGATATCACATCTTTCATTTATAAATACTCTGCTCCTTTCACAGCAAGATGGAAAGCTGCCCTTTGTGCCCGGAGACGAAGAGATGATACTGGGAGTGTCGAGGTACGGAGTGAAGGTGGCCTCTCTGGACCAGTGTGTGAGTAGAAATAAACTTTTATAATGTAACTTTAATTAAATGGTCATTGACATATTTCTGCTTCATTGATACAGCCAACCAGCATGTTTTTATAATGAAGCATCCATTTATATTATGGAGATGATACTGCGCAAAGCCGCTGACTGGCAGTTTCCTGGATCTTTGGAGTCTGCTATATTGCTGCACTTCAACATCACTTATTTGACACTAATGTTTTAAAAATATTAAAAACATTGCTCTCAAATATTTTAATGAAACTATATTATCACAAACTGTTAAAGAAAATAAAAGGTTCTAAGTAAAATAAAACCGGACAATTGAGAAAGGTTAAGGATATGTTTGTCACAGACTGGTCTATTAAAAATGGTCAACTCACGGAAATCATCACATTCATTAATTTCCTTTACAATACTGACAATGGTAGAGAAATTATTTAGTTTTATATTAAAAAGCTACTATGAATAGCAGGTAATACGGTATTTTATCCTGTTAGCCCAATTACTGAATTCTGCTTGCAGTCTAACCTACTGTAGATAACCTTAACCACGTTTTTGTTATATTTGTATTACCTGCAGAGAAAAGAATAAAAAAACACATGCTTATTCCTTACAAAGATGACATGTTTAACAGCAATGTAGTTAGCTTTCTTAACCACATATTACAAATAAAGAAATGTTTGCTTGCATGAGTGGGTCATTTTAATACACTTTGATTGGTTCCTCGGGTCCAGGACGTGCTGCACCGCCACCCTCTGTTCCTGATCGTGCGCATGCTGTGTTACGATGACGGCCTCGGAGCGGGGAAGAACCTCCTGGCTCTGAAAACCACGGACTCAGAGCAGGAGGAGTGCAGCATCTGGGTGTACCAGTGCAGCAGCTCGGTGAGTGTGACGCAGAATCAAATAAAAACAGTTTTCTGGACTTTTTGTATTTCCCCGCCTGTTACCGATCATCTGTCTGAACAGGAGCAGGCGCAGTCCGTCTGCAAGGTGCTGTCGGCCTCCTTCGACTGCGCGCTGACCTCTGACAAGTCCTGAGAGAAGAGGGAAGAAACACGAGTTAATCACAAGACTGCCAAAATATATGCAACCATTTCCCTTTCTTCCCTACGTTGCTTTGTTTGCTTTTAAAGAGATTATCTGGAGCACAGATCTGGTGTGTTTGAGTTGATTCAAGCCTTTTTGATGATGGAAAGTTTGTGGTCCTTTTCAATTATGGAGAAATCACTTCACGCTTAGTTTGCTTTTTAAACCTTTTCGGAGGTCAAGAGCAAAAATGGAAACTTTAGGAATAAAAGGAAATGGTTGCATTTTTTAAAATAATTTAAAATGCAGTGGACAATGTGAATTCATATAATTTGATGTAAATCATGATAGAAAGTGGTACATCTATGCAGTAAACGGTACAATCATTTGACAACGTGCACATTTTGTTTCAGTTTGAATTCACTCAGAACTCTTTCAGTTTCGATCTGCTTTTGTGTGTTTTGTTGTGTTTTTTAACAGTATTGGTACAGTAGCAGTCACTTTTTGACTCCCAGGTACAAAGTGAGAGTGTGTGAGAGGAGTCCTACCTCTTTTATTTGTGGGATTTGCTCATTTGTAATGACTGTTCTTATTGTATCTTACCAAAGCTTGATTTTATTTGGATTTGTTAACTGCTTGTTTTAATGTAGTGAATAAAAATGCGTACATTTCTTTGGACTTGCTGGCACCAGACAAATCCTAAAAGGCTGTTAGAAGCTCATAAAAGATTTTGGAAGAAAACATGTTTACAGTTGTGGTACTTACTTGACTTCACCTTGTACATAATAATAGCCAATCCCCCCTTTACCCTTTGATTTGGTACAAAGTGGATAGCTTTTATTTTTGACTGAATAAAGTGTTATTTCTCCTTATTCCTTCAGTGTCATCTTTCCTTATGTGTGTGTAATGTTTCATCTTTGTTTTAATTATAAATAACTGCAGTATTTTCCTGGGGTCCATAAATATCACAATGTATGTTTTTACACTGCAGTGTTTTCTGAACCCTGGATAGACATGCTAACATAATGCCCATCAGAGGGAGCTCTTGACACATCTGACTTTTAGTTGGACCATCACACAACT